TGAATACCGTAAATACCGAATATGTCAGACGTGGATACGTGAAAAAAATAAATTGATACGCTTCAAACATTGATAAACCTCAAAAATAAATGTTTGTAGAGGCTTACGAATGGCTTGGCCGATAGCTGCGGTTGCGGAGAAACAGATGTGACATTCCATGGTGTCAACAGGGAAGTAGAAGGGGTCCGCATCACACACGGTGGTGGTCAGGGTTTCTACCCTCCAAGTTATCACGCCATTGTTGTTGACCTGGACTGGTATGCCTTTTTCCAGGCCGGTGTACGAAGGATCGGCGCTAAAAATCAAAGAACGAAAATGTTACTTAAACCGAACCCATGACAACGTTTTTAAGACAAACGTTTCTTTATACAATGTATACCATTATCTTTATCACACTTCTGTCTTTACTGAAGAAGGCTATCATTTCTCGTTGTTTACGCCACCCAAATCTATACTCCCGTACCCGGAATTAAAGAACAAACGCGATTTTTGGTAATATGAACTGAATTGGTTAAGACATGACATGCTTTCTCTTGAGGCTGAGGGCTGGGGTCCAAATACTGCTTCCTGGAACACTGAATACGTTGATATCATCGTAATACTTTGGATCCCAACTCAGGCGACTGTCCTGCCACGTCTGGAAAAAGGAAGATTTCATCAGAGAAATGCATTAAGAATGGAACATTTGCGCTCTTGGAAAAAAATTAGTACAGTGCTCTCCTGTTATTTGCATGGACGATTTGTCAGGGAATTTTATTCCTATAACAGGTTTAGTCCAATAACCTTAGGAGAGTCCACACGACTGACAGGGAGGGGAGGTCAGTTGGTTATGGATGATACTGGGCTGGGGCCAATTGAAACAACCACAAACATGATGTTATTGGTATTTATATACTCACTTTCACCCACAACTACATACATGTACCATATTCTAATCTTCAAGTCGCATTCAGAAACTCATAATGAACAGGGCTAACATGGAGATAGAAGATCAGACACATTCCACCTTCATACTGTCTACCCCTGTGTTGGGCAAAAGCTTACCAAACCTAAAACAACAGCCAAGGACACCAAAAAGGAACAAAGGACTTCTTCACACAATCATCATTGAGTGATTGGGGGTTCAGATTGTCCAGAAGGAAGTGACAACAGAGAAAGTGTACGACAATGGAGGGTGCAGGGGTGATAATGAATGAATAACAATGGACTTCATGCAGATTCACGTACTTCTGGGTCAGTGTGCCATTGACTTGGAAATATTTTAGTCCAATATCAGGTTAAAGTCATAACAGCTCATGCAATTATGCAATGCAATTTATAATGTAGTGAATGGGAAATGGTTTGGGTTTTCAGAATTTTATGCAGATCCCAGGTTTATGCCAATGTCAGTGATGCAAATAGTTGGTGAGCACTGTAGCATATTCCCAAAAGCTCAAAAGCTGTCATGAAGTCTAATAACTGTTCCGACTTACAAACTGGAAGACCAGAGACGCAATAAGCTGCTCTTTCTTTTCATCCTGAAAAAAAAGAAGTTAGACCTAGAGCATAACCATAAAATCAGCAACATTATTCACCGACCATTGTGTGTTTTTCGAACTAAATAAAGAACCCCATATGTGTAACAGAAACTATTGTATATTTAGAAGTGTTTGTCGTGTTGCATTATCATCGCAGTGACCTTTTATCAACGAAATCATTAGTAAACCTTAAACACAACTGGACTAAAGAATTGCTTCAACCACGAACTTAAAACTCGAGCAACAGCCGCCTTGACACGACAATTAGACAAAGCGTCTCACAGGAGTTATACTTGAGTGTTGTGATTAGCTATGGACGCTTAAATTTCGTTTGATTTACAAGTCAGTTTAGTTACTCATTTATTTACAAGTTACATTTGTTTTCAGATTCAGTTAATGGTGAGAGCTATTGACCTGGATGCCTTGGTTACTTTGTATTGCTCAAAATACAAAGAAAAACCTCATTTTGTTTTACCAAACAACACATTTTTATTGGATTTGCTTACCAAGTCTACGATCTGTTCCACAGACCCAGTGAAGCTCTTTTTTTGGCTGTAATTCGAGTTTTAGTAAAAGATTTTAAAAATCCTAAGACAGAAAGTTTACCTTTACTGTAATATTTCTAAAAATCAAAAAATCAAACCTTATTTTTGATATTCGGGGCCCCTTAAAATCAGTTGTTTGGTTCTCGTGAACCGTTTTTGAAATCGGAAATTTATCTCATTTGGAAGCAAATGTACACAAAGTTGAGCAAAGCCAGTGGAAGAATAACATTTGAGGTTAACAAAATCACTTGTTACATGTTATTTTGACGAGTGTTTACTCTCCAATTACTTTTGTTTATTTTCAGATTTTACCCGTTACCCCCGGGCCGGCCCGGGACTCCCGCGCGGCCACGTTCGAACGCGTTCTGTAACCCGATACCTCCCTAGTAATGCGACTTTTAGCCTAGCAACCGACCGCCGTGTACATTCTATAATTAATTGAAAAATTGTACAAAATCTTACAAAATGGCCAGGTCATGTTTTCCTATATGATCTATGTCTGTTAGGATCTAGCACATATATGCAAAATCTTTTACTTACTTTACAAAATCAATAAAGCATACAGCATAAAAAACTTGAAACAGTGAGCTAACGAAGTCAACATGTTGTGGAGACGAGGGCATGAAATTTTCAGCCTGTTTTACACATGGTAGGCATGTCGTAGGAGGAAGCTTCCGGAAGGACAGTAGTCAAAACATCGTCAATTTCTCCTTTACATCCCCATGCTATACATTCAACGTCATCGTCTGAGTGAATATAAACGTTAAGTTATTGATACAGAAGCATTATTTCAATACCTAACAGAAAGAATAGACCCATGGAGACTAAGAACTGACCAAAAATACTGTTGTCGTTTATTTTCTGAGAGCAAGAATACAGGAAAACGCTGTCAAAGAACCCAGCTGCGTAAATTTTCCCAAATTTGCCACCGGTTCCGCCATTTTGTATCTAGGAGCAACGGCCTCTGATTGGATAATGGCGATTGGGGGTCATTCACCCCTGACGTCATGCGGTGTCGGCTTGCAAGGAGAAATGACTGGATTTCCGGGGACGCGTATACAAGGTTTAAATGCTATTGCCTACGTCGAAATCGCATTATTGATAAAAAAGGAGTTATTTTGTAAGTATTATAGCTTGCAGATAAATTTTATCCAAGGGTATTTTACCGCAGAATGATAATATTTTAGTAAGAGCAATGTTTCAGTGAAAAAATTGAAAAAATTCACTGTTTTTAATGTTTTGGCCCCCCAAAAATCACTATACCGTTACATAAAACAAAATACCCACGGACAGATTAATTCCGTCTTAAATAAGGTCTTATCTTGTAAAAAAAATCAAGGATAAAATCCCTGTATCCTCAAAGGCTTTGATACATCAAGGAAACAGCACTATTTTTAATCAAAAAGCTTTATTTTTAACCCAAAATTATCGTACATCAAATGAGTTTGCATATGTGTTTCATATGTACCGTATAGCTTTAACTGTGTGTGAAGTTTCGTGATGATACGGTCATGCGTTTAAAAGTTACAAGCATATACATGTTTTACCACCAACTAGCCCGGTGTCACAGGCCTTAAACTACCTGAGTAGCCCTGCCTATTTACCGTGGGTCAGTTCAAGATTAAAGTTTTGTTGTGATTTTATTTGATTTGTGAACCAACCTTTAAGTTTATATGCGTTGACAAGCATGGTTGTAAGTCCATGTAATTGAGTCAATGATAATTAATAAATTTCATTATTTCTTTTGATGCACCAAGAAAAGGTTCCTTAGCACTTCCTAATTACTGTGCGTCAGTCAATAATTGAATTTTTGTGTGGTTTCTCATTTACTTAATTTCATTTGGTATGTATTAGCTCGGTCAATTATGGTAGAAAAGAAATGAAGGAAACTATGTCCATGATAATCACCTGTAACAGAGTTTTTTTACCATTTTCGCATGCGCGAAAATGGTAACTCAGACGAGTTGGCACGTTGGATGCATGGATGGTTCGACGGTTCCACCCTTCAACGGCCATGCAGACATGCTAAGTCACCGCATGTCGCTAGATGTCGTTGTTGCGACGGCCATGCAGACATGCTGAGTTGCCGCATGTCGCTAGATGTCGTTGTTGCGAGTGCACTTTTTACCATTTATGCCTTGGACGTTTGTATACTTTCCATTATGGTTGCTAATTTCAAAATCATAGTTCTATTAATGTTGCATAACAAAGCTGCTGACAAAACAAACTTAATTTGTCTTGAACAATAACTTGATTTTATCATTTGCCAAAAATGTTGATTAAGACATGTCTATAATCACAGTAATCAAGGATTTTAATAAACTGCATAAATTATGTCAATGAGCATTAGCAGTGTGGATTAGTCTAGGTGTTCAGATTTCCATTAGCCGGCAGTCCAGAGGGTCACACGCCCGACCAATCAAGGCGCTGCAGGCAAAGCTTATTAAAAGCCTCCTTTTCAGGCGTTCCCGGATCGGTGTTTGTGTGTGTGTGTGTGTGGTTGGGGGGGGGGGTATTTCTCGACCAAACGTAGATCGCACGCAATAGAAGCTCCGGCCTACATAGCTGTCCGTGGAACTATTGATATTACCTGGGTGCCTAACTTTCACCAACATGTCTTTTGTATTTTAGGAAATTAATTAATTAATGAGTGAGTGTTTCATTAACTTAAATAGGTATTGCATTGTTTGGCAAGGTATTTTCCATTTACAATTTTTAATGGATCAGGTTGATCAGATGATATAATGTAAACAATTATATATGATTAGTAAAATATGACTTTTGAAGTTCTGTTCGAGTATTATTTTAGGGTTGAATCAGGGTCAACGCGAAAAAAAATCATGATCCGGTGATCGACATCATGCCCCCCCGCACACTTCATGTATTCAGTGTTCTAAATACCCGTCTTCAGTCTGCAATTTGCAGATAGATTTTCAAGATTGCAGGATAAAAATTACACAATCTGCAATTTGAAGAATGAAAAAAAACTATGGTCCTCACAACTTCATATTCCCTTTGTTTGACCCGCCCGGCGCCCAAATCCCGCTGCGATTCAAGCCGCGGCGGCTTCTCGAGCCATGCAAATAAAACTAGTCCTGACGTCACAGCCTCCGATTTCCACCGAGCCAGCCCCGAGCGCATGCCGACAGCGAGGGATGTGGCTCAGATTTCCAACGATTTCCTTATTCAGATCATTCGGAAGACTTCGGGTAGCAAACAAAATGGCCGCCATGCACATGATTTTATACTAGTAGCTTCGCTTCTCAACCGAAATGAGGAAGTTTAACCTCATTTGCAGACTTTAGCGGCCATGGAGTTGATTTGGGGAAGTGCTGAGACGCGATTTCGCTACGGCATATGGGATTTTGCCGCGGAGGGAGTTACGTACGCCGGCAAAAACTTGCTTCAGCGATCGGCTCCAGAAAATTTATCTTTATGCTGCCGCTCAAGTCTTCGAAGGTGGTTTAACGAAGTTTATATAAATGATAAAGCCACTTTGCGTAGATCGATCTCCGTTTTCTTGCGATCGTATGAAAATTCAAGTACAGTATATTTTCAAAACGTTTGATATTTCTTTGTTCGTTGTCACATGTTGTTTATTTATCTTATTGTCATGTACAGTTACCAGCGTGAGTCTGAGTCGAGCCATTGTTCTTATGTGGCCGTTAGCACATGTTGTTTAAACAGACAGCAACATTGAAGAAAAGAACCGAGTTAACAGACGTCGGCACGTTCCTTGAAGTCAGGTTCCCGCCGTATTTAAATACGAAATGTGTGGGCCCGCGGCGTTTTGAAAAGACGCGACGCGCTTTGGAAAGACCCCGCGCCGTGGCTCATTCAAATTCGCTACATTTTTTGCTAAGTTTAATGTCTTCACCCACGATTTTTGACCGTCAATGTTGACGGTAAGGACTTAAATTTTTACCGTCCGACGGGAAAAATACCGTCAATTGACGGTAAAACGGGCGCTGGCTAAAGACCTGGTTGAATGTCACGAGGTTTGTAAACTTAGATGTTGGGGACAAAGCCATAGAAGAGATTTTGAATAAAATTATATATATATATTAACGTTACTTATAATTTAAGTTAAAATGTACTTTTGTGTCTCATTTTTTTATTCTGTTAAAAAGACTCTTAAAAGAGAGAAAACAGGTTATAAACTGTTATATACTTGATTTTTGTAATGTTTTAAACTTAAAGAGTTGAAATATAGAAGTGCATGTTCTCTCATTATAGACAATGTTGATGAGAACTAGAACCATTTGTATAACTTAGGTAAATTGAAATGCTAGGATGGGGAAAATGCTAGAATGCATTGCACTACGGTACGTTCCACCACCATATACTCCTCAACCATCCACCAGTTCGTAAAAACTGTAAGCCTGTAAGCGGCGAAAATGGTCAGCTTTTGCAGAAGCACTTGTTTTCATTTATTTGCGAGGATCTTAGGTTACTAATGGATCATTAGTCGTTACATAATCAACACGTGGACTAACAAATACACACACACAAATTTTACAGCCAAGTGGGGGCCAACAAACCAACAAACTGGGCATCGTAAGGTTTGTCTTTTTTCGCTAACTTTGGGCCACGGATTTTTGTCATGTTGATACGTATGTAGGTGCTGTGTGTTGCTAATATTGATAGTGTCAGAAGAAAAGAGGAAAAGCATACTGGGTACCAGTATATTGTAATTTTTACCGAGGGAACTGTTTCAAAGCAGATCAATTTGAGAGGTTCGTTTAAATTGTTTTGTTATAATTTGATATCAGCCAGCGGTTCTCTGATATACTTATCAGGAAACAAGCATTACATATTCCTAGTTATTACCGAAGATTTATATAAAAGGAGAAGAAAAATAGGCTGTAATTTTGAACATGGCCCACACTTGAATTTAGAAAAAACAGCAATAGATACAAAAGAATGTACATCAGCGACTCCTCCTTTTTCCTTGACTTAAATTGTAATGATTTTTATCTACATCACCAAATTTACACAACGGTGTCGCGTCCCCTCCCCTAAAAGCGAATTAGCCGCCCAGTTGTAGATCTCGTCAATTCTCGCCCCCACCCTCTCAGTTAGTTCCACGCGCATGGAGGTGCACAAATTTGATGAACAATTCCAGCCGTCACGCCACGTACTAAATCGAACGCGTTTCGAACCGTTTTTATTTGCAGTTCGAATCGATCCGCGATCCCTAGCAACGCCGTTGCTAAGGAAACTCTTTTCGCGCGGCAGCTGGATGAAATTTCATCCGACTTTCACAGCTGCGTTGAGCCTGGTTTGTTGCATATTTACCTTCGTTGCGTTACATGTACCAGACGGGAATGCCATGTACTCTTGACATGATCAATTTTTGGAGGGTTTTACAACGTCTTTGGTAGATAAATGGTCATATTTGCTTCACAGTGAAATCGTCAAAATGGCGGTGCCGAACTGAGCTAAATTTTCGACGAAATTCACATTGGGGGCATTTGCATGTCGCCCTCGATTCTGTCTTATATGACCATTGAGTAAGATTCGTTGAATCTTTGACTATGTCTCTTGTGAAAATCTTCTTGGATCAAAATCTGGAAATGCTTGTATATTCATATCAACCGGGGCCACGTCCTCGGCCGTTTTACGCCAAAAGTTCTTAAACGTTGGTTTAGTTGATTCTAGGGCAACCGGCGTTTTAGCACAAGTTGCGGTACTAATGTACCTTCTCAATATTGTCAAAGAATGCCTACAGACACAGACTACGTAAGTACGAACTGAATCAGCAAATGCTTTCTTACTCTTGCAGGTATTATTATTAAAATCCAACGGTGCGGGTCTGGCGTCTGGTCTGTGGAACGCGCTTGAAGCCCGCGCTATTTTTGGAACGAAAACGCTGCCTCTGAGGAGGTGGCCTCGCGCGATTACGAAGGAAGCTCATTACGTCCCCAAAATTGATAACAAATTATATACGGACAGAAAGTAGAGACTTCAGGCTATTTTGCTATTTTACGCACTAGATTTCTTTTTGTTGTGAAAACTGAAGTAAGGTAAAAACATCGGAGGAACTTCCACCAAAATCAAGGGGTTTCAGGTCATATTATCAAACGAACATAGGTTAACAATCGTTTTAAAAAGTCACTAGGAGTAAAATAGGAAGCTTAATATTCACAGATACAATGAAATGATGAAGATACATAGTTATAAACTCAAGCAACAAGCTTTGTAGTAAGAGGTCCCGACTCCCGGGGGTTATAGAACGTAAAATTGTCTCAAAACGGCGCGCGGTTCGCCGTGAGATTCAATCATAAACCTTAAGGTCAGATTTATATCACTTCGGGTTTGTGAATTGACTTGAAACTCGGAATCCATACACGGGAGACCATTGTTAACATAATTCCACATGAACATTTACGTTCGACGGAGCCAGGACCTGTCCAGCGTAGGTGATAACTAAAAATGTCAAACCAGGCTCGTTCTATTCTGAAATCAAAATGATGACATGACCTCGCGTGTTTTGGGGGCATCTGCATGTCGCCCTCGAAATCGATAACAAGTTATATATCAACACAAACTAGAATCTTTGCTCTTTCATACACACTAGATTTCCTGTTGGATCAGAATCTACAACAAGTTAGAAATGAGAAGGGGAATTCCACGAAAATTACCTGCTTTCGGGTCAAATTCTTGAAAGGATCACGGTATGCCATTGCTTCAAAAATGTATAGGAGTAACAAATGAAGCTTACACATTATCAATAAGTTAACGTTAGGAAGATAAATGGTTGCAGACCTCAGCTACAAGCTTTCAGGTAAGGCGTGACGGCCCCCGAAATCATGGAACGGACTACTTTCTTTCGCGGAAGGAAAATAAAACTGCCTCGAACTCTCGACGTGGCGTTGCGGCTGATTCTAACGATATTATTACAAGTTCGGTTAAAATAAGATAGTAGCCTCCTTGGTTGAAATATTACCCTTAAAGTATTTCACGCTCAACATCATTTTAGGGTTTTTAACAACACAGGATTTGAGCTGATATATGCTTAAAGTGCCATTGGCAAAAACAAAATTGTGTATACATGCGACAACCCCCCCCCGCCAAAAAAAAAACCGAAATATTTAAGAAATCTGTGTACGAAGATAAACTAAAACGGAAATAACTTTTTTTTTGGGGGGGGGGTCGCTTATGGAGGGCAAGGTGGGGGACACTGGAACAAAGGAATTTTACAGACAGAAATAAATATATTCTCAAAGACCGAATGTAAAACAAAATACATATGTTTGCTCTCTTTGATGTAGAATGGCGGGAAAGTATTCCTTAGCCATGGTGATGATGACGATACTTGTTGGTCTTCTGAGAGACCAGCCCGGCGTGTTGTCCGCACCAGCGGAACCTGACCCAGACGGTAATTACAGCTTTGTCAAACAGCATCTAATTCTATTTAGGCTAGGGTGGGGAGTTTGAAGGCCCGCAGGTGTTCGTTAAACCTTGCTTAGGCTTTTGTCAAATATGTTTTGTCTGTTCACAATTCTATTGCCTTATATCTGTGTGGAAATTTAAGTAAGTAAGTATATCGAACAAAACTATTTTACAAGCATTTTTTAAAGTTAAATAAGTGATATATTTGCCAAACGTGAACAGCAAAGAAAAGTGCTTATATCGTATGTTTTACAAAAGCCTACCTTAAGGTTTATCATAGACTATTGTTTAAGTGCCACGATTTATTCTGACTCATTTTATGCCAAATCACATTCATAGGAAACCTCCGTAATGCTCAACTGGAACTTCAGACCAACCTGAATAGAATACGGGAGACAATGGCTGCTTTTAAAGGTAAGCAAGCAGTTCTCAATACGTCAGTATACGTTATTAGTGGAATTCAATTTCATTGTGACATTTAAATTTTTTTGGTCTGAAAAATGTATTTGTATCTGTGGTTTAGGAATTAAAACGATCGGCGTTCCTATCGATTCTACGCCTAGAGATCCCGATAGTTATGTCCTCTATGGCCATTCAAAGTTTTTCTTATCTAACTTGAAGCTGATGTGTTGCGACAAAGGATGTATAGACTGGCCACACCTATATAAATTCGGTGGATAATAGATCATACTTGGCCAATTGAATACTGCCTTACCGCGTTTGATTACGATTCAGCCACTGTAATACGTAGAGTACTTACAATTAGCAAGTAGGGATACCTTCTTTTCTGGTATACCGGTAAAACACGAAATTGCCAGGATCCCTTTTGGTAGATTCAGAGCACCACCCATTCCCGCCTTTCTCTCTATTCAATCAAAGCGTAAGCTCCTGTTCTGTATAACAGGAGCTTTCAGACTAATTCACATCTTGTCTTGACTTGTCTGACTTTTGTTCCTTTTTCGACTTCCAAAAAATTAATTAAACTTGTCTCACTTCCTGTCTTTTAAATTCTTTTATGTTTAAGCTTTTTTTTTTCTTGCAGGCGTGCTGGCTTCCCTAGAAAAGCGAATCCCTACAATTGACAGTCGAGTCCTCGCCCTTGAGCGTCAGGAGAAGGATATTCGAGGGAACACAGAAATAATCCGTGTGAGAGTGGAAAACTTGGAGAACACGACCGTCAGTGAAGCCCAAAAGCACGAGGATCTGAGAGCAAATTCAAACTTTACAGCAACTTCAATTTCTGCAGAGCTTATGGCAGAAATCATCAGCGCGGTGGAAAGTCGATTGGAAGAGTCAGAAGGACAGGCAAACGGGGAAGAAGAGTCAGATGGAACAATAGACGATTCTACGGGTAAGAGCTAAATGATTGGCTTCACAAATCTCTTTCATACGTTAACCCTAGCTGGACCGGGCTTTTTTTATCCGTGGATGGTGTGCTAAACTTAATTAAGATAACAATTTGAAGTCATTATGACGTCGTTGGTGTGATTGTGTTGGCCCAAACTGACTATATACTAAGTTATATTTAGGTTACGTCACAGTACACAACATAACTTAAACGAAAATGTCAATGATAGAATATTATGGTCTACTAACTTATGTTGCCCATATCAATACCAGGGACGTCATAAAATACAGAAGAATAGACGAAAGACGTTCAAATAAACCTTTTTTATAAAAAAAAAGAAGTGATGAAATTTTAAGGAAAATTAGCTATATATACCTGATCTAATGATATGTTTCACAATCATTAAATTTGCATAAATTATGCACTTTCAATTATAAAAAGTACATAAAATTATATTAGATGTTATTAATATTAGAAATCATCTGTAACTTTACACAACACCCATAAAAGTCTATTTTTGAAACAAAAATCACTGAATTTCGAACAAAAAAGTCAGAAACCCGATGCCAAAAACTATTCACTGATTTCAGACGCTATCTGACATCAAAGTTGGCTGGGTCAGCATCAGGTGGAGTTCGGATTATTTAACTACTTTTCGGTATTTCGAAATGTTTTAAACATTCCCAGGTGGCTGGCTATACGTCAGCACTCTCTTAAAAAAAGAGAAAAAAATATTGTTTGAAAAATGTTTTTTTTTTTTATTAGAACTTTATGAAAGTGTGGTCACAGAAGATTTGACTGTAACTGTATGTTAACTTTCTTTTATCAAACAGTGGTTCACCACAGCCTAACGCTCAGGACCAGCAGTGTTCCCGGTTCTGGCAGTCGTGACTACATGACAGTTGAAATCTTTTCTGACGTTTGTGATAATGTCTGCACGACAACGACTATATCTGGATTAACAGAGCATGGGTAGGTAATATTTGATACGTATAGCTTATACATAACTGCATTGTGTTAATACAGTCGATGTTTAATCTTTCTCATGTATCGGGACATTTACCTATAAATCGATTTAGTTACCTTCGCCAAGAAGGTTATGTTTTCGTTGGCGTTCGTGTGTCTGTGTGTGTGTGTGTGTGTGTGTGTGTGTGTGTGTGAGCACGATAACTCAAGAACGCCTAGATGGATTGTCTTGAAATTTGGTAGGTGTGTAGGTCTTGATGAGACGTGGAACTGATTAGATTTTGGGACCCCTAGCGGCTTGTTATGGTACTGCAGCTGAACTTCCGGTTTTGATATCTCGTGATCTAGACCTGCTAGGCTACCGAAATTTGGATGGTAGGTAGCTCTTGTGCTGGGAAACAAGTGACGTGAGTTTGGGCCCCCTAGCGGCTTGCTCTAGAACTGCAGGGGCATTAGTTTAAAAATGTTTAAAGGCGGATAATTCAAGAACCGATTAATGGATCGTCATGATATTTGGCATGCAGGTAGCTGAAGTGATGCTTGACATAATGATATTACAATTATGCAAATATTTATGTAATTTGCATAATTAATGAGGAAATTCTATAAATCAGCTGCATTCCATGATAGGACTATTCAAGCTTGTGACATACTAGTATGTAATTCAGAACGGCAGAAATACAGGCAGATATCGATTATGCAAATGAAGACTTAATTTGCATAATTAATGAGAAAATATTAGAATTACATATTGGTAATGAAATTCTATAAATCAGCTGCATTCCATGATAGGACTATTCAAGCTTGTGACATACTAGTATGTAATTCAGAACGGCAGAAATACAGGCAGATATCGATTATGCAAATGAAGACCTTATTTGCATAATTAGTGACAAAATATTAAAATTACATATTGGTATTGTGAGGAATTTCATACTTGGGATATTTGAAAGTTATGTGAAGGTAAACATAATTAAACATAACTTATTCAAATAAGGACCTAATTTGCATGATTTATGAGGACATGCTATAATGGCATGCATTGATAAGATAAGACTGTCTTCTGGTGTAGAATATGATCAACAGATATAATTGATGCGATATAGGATCCTATTTGCACAATCAGGGGGATTTTAATCTATAATTTCTTAGTCATAAAGGCTAACATCATTTGGCGAAGGTATGAGATCGTGGAACTCTAGTTCATTGTGTTTTTTATTTGAGATTTTCAATAAACTGTCCACAAAAATATTGATACATTGTATTACACTTCACATGTGGGGGTTATTAGAACAAAATCTTTAATTTTATATTTTCATATATACAACATCACAGCACCGTGTACAATCGAATCTTTGCTGCCACCAATTTCGGGAATCCCACGCGACTTCGAATTACAACGTCGGGAAGCGACTGGTTCACGATGGACTGGGTAAACTTTATTATAGCTACGACTTTGACACGGAGGCTATGTAACCGTGGTAGAGGGGTGAAGGGGCTGTGGTTTGGATATGTATTTATGCCAACAACATATCAACTGTAGATCGATTTTTATATTATTTAATAGGTGAATAGGAGAAGTAGATTGTTAAATTGCAGATAGTAGAAATTTTAAAATTGATTTACCTGGTGTATTAATATATATTCTTGCATCTCAGAAAAATAAATTGAAAGCTTTGGATCCTTCTGCACGGTATTTTTGGGTAGCTAAGTAGGGGTCGCAAAGAGGTAATCAAGTTTTATAATTAGCCTCCTAGCGGGTACGTAAAATTCTGCAGAGGAGTTTCAAATTTTCAGAAGAAAATACCCAGATGTTTTGGGTGCATGATTTTCGAGTAGATGAGCGTTTTTACGACTAGTGCTAAGTTGCATACGTTTTTGCCCTCTAGTAGCTTATTCTCGAATAAAAAAATAAAAAAAGGATAACATATAAGTAAAGGATATATTGACATTATTAAGTAAAGGACAACTTTACAAATTATGATATAATCTCAATGAGGTATATAAAAAAAAATGAGATTTTAAGAACAAGAGAAATAACAGTAGATACTAATTATGTAAATGATATCCTGATTTGTATAACTAGCGGAAATTTAATACTTTGGGCATTTGGAAGTAATGTAAATGTGAACATCCTTAAATATAGTATTCAAATTAAGCCGTCATTTGAATAATTATTAAGGAAATGCTACAATAGAACATAATAAGATATATTACCGTTTTGGGGCGGAATATATAGTCAACGAAAGTAATTATGACTGATGATTTATGTTTCATGAAACATTAATTGTCTGTCATAACCTTTTTTACTCACTCAGCTCTGCATGAACCGTCAGTCACAAATGTTAATATTATTTGTATGAGTAAATGTTACTCTTAGACTTATGTTGATGTCATTAATATTTCTTTGTAGATCGGTGTTGATAATGTTTATACCGGACAGCATTACCGTTTCCCCTGTACCAGTCCCGTCTGCGAGTTTTCAGCTGATCCCACTGAGGGAAGCCAGCAGGTAACTTTAGAACTGCATGGTTAGTACTGAATTTCCCCTACTTATGGCTTATTATGTTGTGTGGTGTTTCTTCTTCTTCTTCTTCTTCTTTTGAAATGGATGCCATTTCTTCATTTTGGGGCTAAATACCATGGAATTTGACTTACAAGTCCATCCTTTTTGGCAAGCTTTCAAGCATACTTGGTAATATTGTTGATTTAAACACTCTTTCTGATAATTCCATACAATATTTAGTTCTTCGCGGTAGTTTCCTTTGTTCGTATGACACCAACTGCAAAATAATGTTAGCCGTACAAAATTATATATTAGAAACAAAAAGATTCTAACTGCATGTGTTTTCTGGGATGGGAGGATTGTTACTCACGCGAGGTCTCATGTATTTTTAAATGTCTTGTAAAATATTTTTCTTTCATTGTAAAAGTGGCTGCGAGAATATAAGTTGTACCTAACTTGAGTTCGCTGTCACTTAGTCCATGCATTTTCATTTGTAATTCTCATTGAGCTTCTGAATAAAAAAAAAAAGAATTTGACTTAGAGGTACAGTGGACAAATACCCCCAGGCGTCATCCATATTGTTTATAAAATTGTATTTATAACCCTTTTGTACCCAGGTACTACATTTCTTTCTAAATTTCTTTGTGACAAAACGATTGAAGGGTAAAATGCAAAATTAGCCAGTCAGGAAACCTCAAAATACTTGTTTTAATATGTGTTAAATACTTTTTTTTCAATATGTGTTAAATACTTGTGTTTTTTTTCAAACAGACACACACAGCACGTCGTCCAGCTGCACTGAAGTAACAGAGAGAAGTGACTTTAACAACCATGGATTCTACACCATCGACCCTGACGGACCAGGGCGTGGAGGCGCACCAATGGTTGTTCAGTGTGACCTGGAGGGGCAAACAGGTAAGCAAAAAAAAGTCAAAGAGGGTCCAGATACAACAAATGTAGGAGAACTTGGCTAAAAAGATATCTCGTCGACAAGGAGTGATTTTTTTAAATTTTTCTATGGCGGCAAAAACGTTCATACACAGAGACACATCAAAACAAACACATGTCGCTTAGGTAAAAAAAAGAAGCTTCAATGACCACACAGGAAACCTTATGGTTACGCAGATTATAATCAAAATGTGAACCAAAACCCACAGATTTTGGGAAAGGTGGGACATGGCGTCCTCCATGGTTTACCACAGAGAATTCAAATCCTTCAGACAAAGTTTTAAACATAGCTATAGTTTAGGAAAAATACTGTGTTATTAAGTATATTTTGAAGATATTTTTACCTCCATAAAAAGGCGGTATTGTTTTTGGCGCGTCTGTCTCTGTGTGTGTGTCTGTGTGTGTGTTTGTATTTCCGCACATTTGTAGTAAGCATAACTTCATAACGGCTTTATGAATTGTGATGGCATTTGGTGTGTTGGTAGGTCTTAGGAAGGAGAAGGTCAACGTCAAATATAGGCCTCCTCGCGGATGGCCTTGGTACTGGAACAGAACTTTCGGTTTTTGTATCTTTTGTCCCGAACATATTATGGTCTGGAATTTTTGGTGACATATAGATTTTCCTGTCAGGAGTAAGTGGTGTGGGTTTGGTCCCCCTAGCAGCTTGTTCTGGAACTGCAGGGGACCTTTGAAGAAGAGAGAAATCTTTGAAAGGCAATAAGTCCAGATAGGAACTACGTATTTTCATCATTTTGGGTAGGTAGGTAGCTGAGAAAAAGATGTAAATAATTGAATGCAAATAAGGACTTCATTTGGATAATTAATGAGTAAATTCTGTTACTACAGTGTTTAACATTATGGTACTTTTATACATGTAATGTATGTAACCTGTGGCAGATGGAACATCAACAAATACTAATTATGCAAATGATGACATAATTTGCATAATTAAAGCGAAAATTCTACGATTTCTTAATGATGAATGGTGGGAATGTCATACTTGGGACATCTGTTAATGAAAAGTTAACATCACGATGCATATATTATGTTAATACGGAGGTCATATGCGTAATAAAAGAAAAAATTTACATTTACATATCAAGCCCATATTTTATGGAGGTATGCGATCTCGGAACTCTTGTTTACTTTGTTTCAATGTCCTATTATCTTTGTTTTCTTTTGTAATCAGCCTTCGGGCAGGGATATGAAATAAAGCTATTTTTGTTAATCCCCGACTAAGTCATGATGTCTAAAAAGCAACTGTGGTGTAACGATTGAACGTTTTATTTCAATTTTAGCAATAACGCTGATTGGCCACAACAGGGAAGCACGGACACATGTGAATGGATATGAGAACCCCGGTGTCTACTCCAAGGATGTGACATACTGGAATAACATGGAGCAAGTGAGAGCTTTAGTGAACCAGTCAAGTCTCTGCAAACAGCTCATCAAGGTACTTGCAGCTTTTAATTGCACTTCATACATGCAAAAAATCAGTATAAAATCCATGTATACCCCAGTACGTCTGCACAAGCTCTGACCACCCTGGCAGCAAGAGCCAATTGAAATCAGTAGGTTACGAGGTAAAGAGGTAGGAAGTTTCTGGAGGAAAGTTTTTATTGTATGCCTTGTTTTTCAATGTCCAACCCTCCCAAAAAGAGGAATAACAAAATCAGGGTATGTTATAGGAGTGTCACTTCTCTACAGTCTCTGCTTGGAGAAAAGTCTAGAGACGCAGTAGTTTTATGGACTAACCACGCGAATAAAGCGACATTTTACAAACCAAGGGTACTGACATTTCAGTAACTTGGTTTTTGTAAGGGCTGTATAAAGTGATACAAGAAGGACTGCCTAACTAACTGAAGGCTATATTCATCTCAGAATGTTAAAATATGTATTTGCAGTATGAATGCCATAATTCACTGATGTGGACCGCGGCTGGTCCCCCATCCGCCTGGTGGGTGACTTGGGACGGTCGCCAGGCTGACTACTGGGGAGGTGCCAGTCCTGGGAGTGGGAAATGTGGCTGTGGACAAACAGGTAATTATAACTTATTTACAACTTCATAATCACCATCTTCAACACACTCATCATCATAATCATCACTACCACCAGCATCATCATTCTAACCATTTTAACCACCAGCATCTTTGGTATTATTATCAACATCATCATCACCATCGTCATCACCACCACCACAAACATTACCATCATCATCAGTTCATTACTACATCATCATCACCATCGTCATCACCACCACCACAAACATTACCATCATCATCAGTTCATTACTACATCATCATCACCATCGTCATCACCACCACCACTAACATCATCATCAGTTCATCATTACTACATCATTATTACCATCATCACCGTCACCACCATAATCACCATCCCACCATGGCCATCGTCACAAACATTACCATCACCGCCATCATCACCACAACTAAAAAAGCAGCGGCATTTAAAAATCATCATTATCCTCATTTATTGGCCTATAACAGTTGGGACTAAGCTAGTTCAGCATGTTTTCAGGCAAACAAAACCGAGCTTTTCAATGCTTTCTGTCTGAACAACAGGTTCATGCAGAAGGTGTTACTGCGACATCAATGATAACAGATGGCGTTCAGATTCTGGGTACCTGACCCACAAGAATGACCTGCCGGTCACCCAGCTCAGGTTTGGGGATACTGGGAGTGGTCACGAACAAGGCTATCACACCCTGGGGAAACTCATCTGCTACCCATGAGACCACCACCTGTGTCTGTCACATAATTCCGTGTAACAGCATTTACTTAAGCACATTACTACAAAAGAAGGTTTACTTTGCATTACGTTTCGGGTTTGGCTAACATGGCTTTTTTTAAACTTTTGTTTTATGCAAGGCGTGATTAGGTTTTATATTATCGTTAGATTAAGTTGCTAATAGATCTGAGTTGATGTTAATGTTTTGTTGAATTAGTTAAAAGTCACAATGTATTCTAATAGTGGCTTACATTTTGATGTGCTTAGTAATACGTTTGATACTGTTTTTACGTACACCTTCTGTTGAGTTGTATATTGTATGGATTCAGTTTTGAAAAATTCTACATTACATATAATTCGATATGATTAAAAGCAGTACTACCTTATGATATAACTGTGTGCCTAGAACATAGCTCGTTCGATCAAATTTACAAGACAAAAATAGTGCTTGGAGTTTAATTGTTTTTTTTATTTCTATTTGATATATGTTATTATTTTACATTGTAAATACGGTTTTGTTTTTGTATTTTAACGTGTGACCTGTCTGACTACTACTAGTATAACTATGCAACAGGGAATCTTGGAATTTCCTTCCACACTATATGTCTACTACACACGTGTGATCGCAAAGTATGCGAGGTATGGTAACTCGTTCTCCCGGTAAAGTCCGTTTGTTTAACTCTACTTTAATGAACTAATGGACAAAAAGAGTGCGATTTGCATTTCCTAGCTAACTAAGATCCTCGAATTGATAATATTTCTGTCTATTAACTGTTTTAACAATCCTGGGTGTCCTTAGTCTTTCAAAACAGTAAGAATTTAGCTATAGTCCTAGTTGTTGAGATCGATCTCTGAATAGTTCAGCATGAATTGTGACTTTACTATTCCTGCTTTACTTTCCTCTACTCCATACATGTAAGGCTGTAGGTACCGGATTGTCTACCGCTACTTCTGGTGTGTCAAGCCGAAGGCCGGTTTTACCGACTATATCGATACAGGCCGGCTATACCGACTATATAGATACTTTTTGGTAAAAACCATTGGAATGAAGTCTAGTAGTAAGCCTGTAAGGTTAAAGGCAATGTCTTTAAACGATGTCCACTGCTACTTCTAAAGGATTATAAACCATAGGAATGTTGTTAGGTAGTAGGGAAATGTAGTTGAGGTAGCGGATACCCTTCTCAAAACATTGTCTACCGCTACTTAGCAACATTAATCAGAACTGCTACACGTACTTAGGCTACAGCAAGTAATTTGTATCGATGACATCATGGTGCGCATTAATTTTTGCCTGATTTTGGAAAAAAAAGGATTTTTCTGTCTTCTGACAGTGGTCAACATGCCGAAAATGCGCAAAGATGTCTGTTGCCATGCCGGAAGGTGGATGGCAGATAACTATAAAGAGAGGAAACAACAAACGGCTCTGATTTAATGTTTTGTTTCTTACTTTGATGCAGTGATATGTGATGCTGGCTGTATATATGTGATGTTCACACGGAATCAAAACCATTTGTACAGTGATTGAGTCAAAATTTTATTTTGTAAGAACCTTGTTTTTTTTTTCGGCCTGCCTTTTTTTTTCGCCCGCTCGCATTAGATTTGGAGTCTACGGAGGATATCATCCATAAAATTTACTTGCTGTGGCCTTAGTATACAAGTGCAATGTGTTAACTCCTCATATGAGGCATTTTTCTATTTTTTTTCTTTCCAAAATTAACGAATCGTTACCGTCAACACACTCTTAACAAGCCTATGTTTGATATTTGGCAATAAGATTCTATAATTTAAGATCTAGATATACATTCTGAAATGCAATATCCAGTTCAGCCAACACAAGCTAGTCCCACGATCTCATAGCGCCATCTAGCAATAGTTTTGAGATCTGCAACAACTAAAATATGTAAGGTAGAAGTATCTAGTGTACAAAGCTTACCGCTCCTACTTCATGGCAGAACTTAGCTGAACAGTACTTGCCGCTCTTATGCAGCCTTTTGGGCTTATTTCTTCCCAAACGGCTGGTTTTTACGGCTTGTTAACGTCAAGACATTCTTAATAAGTCTGGGTTTAAGCCAATGCCATTGATTATCCAAAAGAGCCACGGCCTTAATACCTTGTTCATACCATACATATATTTAGCGGTTTCAACTGGTTTTTCAAAAACAGGTTTTTATTTAACCTGGTGTGAACGAAAATTAACCGTTTTTTAGGGGTTTAAATCCGATTTTCAAAAACCACCTCGGGAGGTGGTATTAGAGGGGTTTTTGAAGGGTTTTTCCACCGAAAAACCTGGTCTGAAAGCTAAGGGTTTATTGAACCGGTTTTTGCGTCATAATTCCGGGGTCACGGGGTCAGCATCCTGGCCGTTTGCGACCTCCAAGCTTTTTTGATCGTGTTGTTTTGACCAATTTGAGTTCGTTTCCACTGTTTTTCCACGGTTTCTCTTTATTTTGCAATGGAATCAGCATGTGCAACCTGGTCGGCGGACGGGACGCTCCTTTTTGGAGAGCAGGAGTCGCCGAATTCGAAAAGCTGGGGGGGGGGGGCTCTACCGAAACAAACATGTTGGAGGAACCTGGTTTCTCAAAAAAGATAAAGGATCAGCTAGTGCCGCAGTATACTAAAGGTAAAGAACCTGAAGACTGAATACAAGAGGGCGACAACAATTGGAAGAGCGGCAGTAACGGCTTTTCAAACTGCAGTCATGGCGGATTAATTGGATATTCACCGGACAGAATTTTTTACAAAACCGGTTATGAAAAGTCTGGTATGAACGCTAAGGGTTTTAGCCGGGTTTTCCTCCGCTAATTATTTAGCGGTTTCAACCGGTTTTTAAAAGTCTGGTATGAACGGGATATAATAAGAAACACGAGGGGCTAAAATGCTGGCTATTTTCAAGGAGAAAGACTTTTGGAATAGGACTTTTCTTTGTTTTCCTAACTCCACAGTGCCCGTACTGTTATGTCGGACTCTCATCTTAACGCCAGTGTGCTTAATTAACCCAAAGAGCCACACCGCCCATGTCTCATAATGGGGAAACTTAAACTGAGAGGCTACAATTCTGCCTTGTATACTAAGTACGTGTTGCAGTTCTGATTACTACTGCTAGGTGGAGCTGTGAGATCGCGTGTTGGCTTAACTGGAAACTGCTGAATCTAATTGTAAGAAAAAGGTTTTCAGAAGGGATATTCTAATGGATTGACATTCTTTAGTCTTTTATTTCCGCAGATCAATCACAGACTTGTTGAGGTGTCTTGACGGTCACAAACTGTTTATTTTTGGATAAGAACTGTGAAAAAATGAGGCATTCGAGCGGCAAGCATTGTATCCTGTACACTTCTACCTTATTTACTTTATTTGTTGAAGTTAAAAAAAAACTATTGCCTTGAGGCACTGTGAGACGGTCGGATCACCATGTGTTTGCTGCACTGGATACAGGTTAACAAGCCGTTGATTTTGGGGAGAATTACGCCGAAAATGCCGTATCAAATGCAACGACCATGGTGCAACGTCACAGAAGCGGCTGGTTGCTCATCACGGAAAAAGGCCGTGTTTAGGAGTAGGTCGCAGATGGACAGCCCAGAGGCTATGCTCCAGCAGGAGCGAAGCAGGGTGGGCGGGTGGTTGGCGGATCAAAGATGTATCATGGTGCACCTGATCTGCCTCAGGCTAGAGTGGCGATAAACATAAAAAGAACGAGAGAATAATGAATTCTGCTGTCAACGTGTGAAAGGGTACATATTTTGCTGCCACAGGCCAAACCTAGAAAAAACACAATGCAACATGTATTGCGGTGGCTAAAGCAAGAGTCAAGATACAAGTGAAATAATCTCCAAGCAGATCCCTTCCGGTCGCAAAAAGACAGTACTCGTATACTCATTGTTGTATTGTGCTGTGTAATACAGGGCCCCGTTGAAAAGCAGTGCCATCACTGAATTGGGTTACCCTGTATAAAAATGACGGAAAATACATAAATAAATAAAAGTATCAAAATGTCCAGGCAGTATCCATTAACCAGGGTCGCCGGCCACCGACGGTGCGGGTAGCGACAAAAAAGGCCATATACAAAAAGCTAATGACCATTCCCCCACAACCTCTGCTTGAAGAGTACAAGTTACAAAGAAATGATGGGATGATCGATGAGCGAGAAGAAGACACATCTTTTGTTTCTAATGGCATCGGGTGGCGTTGGTTTCTTATGGCGTTTAATGGCGTCGGGTGGCGAAGTGGTAGATCATTCGACTGTGAACCGTGGAGACCGGGGTTCGATCCCGAGTTGTACCCGGGACATGTCTAAACCTGCGCCCCAACGTTGTTTCCTTGGAAAAGGCACGTTACACAGCTTTTCTCACTCCACCTAGGTGTAAATGGCGACCTACTTTCGGTTGGGGAAAGGCTATTGGGGTCACCTTGTGGCGCCGAATGGCAGCCGCACAGACCCTTGCGACAGTTCCGCATAAATGTGGGTGGTACAATTTTGTATCACTTGTATTATGTGTATTATTATATGTGTATTATTACATGCATTTGTATCATGTGATTGTAAACCCTGCATCAATTCAAAACTATAAGGCTGCGATTGCACAGGTGATGTTTGGCCAATAAACCATTTATTTATTCTATTTATTATTCAGAAGAAACATCTTTTGTTTCTTATCACATGGAGCCTTCTTGGATATACGGCCTGTTGAGATCTCATCATTTATTTGTGCAGACTCAACTTTATTCAGCCTTTTTCCTTTGAACTACGTGCGGGCCTTAGGGAAATTTCATTGATTTTGTCTGCTGCGTTGATTATTGTACAAAAAAATGTTAAGAAGTGTCAGAAAAGTCTGTTTTTGTCCCAAATTTAAGCCTTATTGTGGTATATTGGCACAAGGCCCGCTCGTACAAGACATTACAGAGGTGTTATCTATTACTTACCAAAAAATCACTCTGCAGAACAGTTGTTTCATAGTGGGCACAGGCCCTTTAATTAAATCACTACTTTTTTACCAAAAAAATAAG